ATAATAATAATAATAATAATAATAATTATGCAATTCTTTTAAACCTAGGGGACAGAAACAGAACCAGAAGCTCACCTGGAGAAAATCAGCCGTTTGTTGAGGCAACTTGGTTCCAACAAACTTGAAGTGTTCCTTATGGAATTTACTCTCCAGGTGATTGTTCATCTCGTCATCGTAGAAGGTCCGATATTTGCATAACGAACAAACAAACTGGATCCTGTTGAGAGAGTCGGAGGTGAAGGGATATTGAAACCAATCCATTCCGGCTCTACACGGCATCGCTTTCTCACCGGATCGACTCCCTCGCTTTATTTAAGGGGTGGCAGATAAATTTAGGGAAGTCTCCAACCCTTTAAGCATTTATGGGAGGTTTCCCAGAGGTTCTTCCCCATTTCTTTTTTTTTTTTAAAGGATGGGCAGCAAGAAAAGTCGCAGCAGAGCGAAGCAGCTTCTACAAGGACCAGCCAAAACACTGGGACAACTGGGAACAAAAGGACGGAGCCCGGCCGCGAGTACGACGGTCCCAGAAACGAAAGCAATATCGCTAAAAATAAAATTAAAATAGGAGACGTTACCTTTCTACCATGCGATCCCGATGCCTCTTCTTTTGCCTTTCTTGAGTTTTCTTGCCCGCCTGCAATTTGCGTTTGATTTGACTGATCTCTTCTTGAATTGTTAAAGCACCTAAGTGTTTAAAGCAGGTTGTATTTCAGGGCACTACTTGAGGACACCACCTGATTAAAGAGAATTTCCCTAGACAAGTTTAGTTGTCAGCCCGACCAGCCCACAACCACCTAGACACACCGTAAAGTCAAGAAGCCGCTCGCGCCGGCCAACTCCGGAGAAAACTCTGGTTTATACGACGGTGCCGTCCACCCCAAATTAGCTTTTTCCAAAAAAAAAAAAAGAAAATCAAACCAAAAAAAGAAGCTGCGCTGGGGTAAGTTTGATGAGTGGGGCAGAACCACGGCAGAAAGATTCTGATGCAGTTTCCCAGCTCTTTATTTTAATTACTGTTTGCTACTGGTTTCATGAGGTTTTAAATATTAATTAGTTACAAGTTTGGGGTTTTTTTAAGCAGCACCCACTCGGATTTGTTCGGCCTCAAAGCCAACACTGGCAACGCGACAAAGCTTGGGTAAGGGGGATGAATTTACATCGCTTATTTGTGGGACAGAAAAGCTGCTTCTCTCTCCGCTCGCCCTGGCATACGCGCGGGGACGTCCCCGGATCAAATTTACACTGCCCATCGATGGGACGAGCGGCAAAGACTCCCCCCCACGCATCTTGCCAAGAGGTTCTCTGCTTCTCTAAGCTCCCTTCGGATATCACCGTGCTTTTCCGACCGGTCCCGTCTCTCCAAACTGGGAAGTTTCATCCCATTTTCACGGCCCAGCTTACCCAAAGTCAAGTCTACGGCACAGCGGGGAAATTAAATCTGGTTTCCTAAAGCGCCCCAGGCTAGCGGCTTTACCAACCTACCTTGATCAAGGGCTCCAGCTTCTCCCTAGCAGGGTTTTTACAGCATTTCCTTATCCCTGAGCAGACACAAAGGATGGGATTCATCTGACTAAATGCAGACATCACAGCTGAGCTAATCCCTTGTCCCCCTGTCAGCGAAGAGCTGACAGGTCTCATCCTGAAGAGAAGTGTCCCGGGAAGGGCCCTCTTCATTTCTTTTCGCCGGCTACGGCAACGCAATCCCACCAGAGCCTCGACTGCTCTCGCTCGTAGGACCCCACCTCCGGTATCTGTCCCAAGATCAGCATCCCCAGGGGATTTGGGGACACGCGGAGAAACCAAACGGCCCTTTGCGGAGAAGGTGCAGAGGTTTAGCTCAGATCACCAAGACGCAACGAACCAGAAGGGACAGCGGAGCCACAAGACAAATGGATTCTAAGAACCGAAAAGGCCTGAATAAACTCATCGGATTTAATTGGAAATATCTCTTCTGGCCACGTCGGAGCACTCGATTGGATGGGGGTTATGCTCCGCACGGAGCTTTGGAACGCAAACAAGCTGTCGTGCACACCAACTCACCTTTCTCCGAATCTTTTCCTTCTTCATCTTCTCCTTCCTAAAAATGCAATGTCGGGAAGTTAAAACCACCTAGAGAAAGCGAACGTCTGGAGGCTTGCAGCCTGCCACCTCTCAAACCCTCAAAGCACCGCAGGGGGGAGCGACATCTCCGTCGGATCTGGCCGATCCACGCTCCCTTAGTGCCGGGAAATCCGGTGCGGTGCCTACTCGGCAAGAGATGCCTCTACAACGCCGGCAGGTCTTACCTCCGAGGTCCCTCCACCGACCTGAAGGACACCGTCAGTCCCCGTCTAGAGCCAGGCAACGTAATCCCACTCGTTTGGGATTCTCCATGTCACAGGCAATTGATTTTGGGGGTTTTCCTTACTTAAAGCTCTTTGCGCACCGGTATTTTGCTGCGTTTCGACACCGTAAAGCGTCTCGCAGTGATATTGTGGCCGGTGGGCATAGCTGGGAAGCCCCTTGGTAACATCCACGTTTCCCTCGATGGAGCATTTTGCTTCCATCCACTCCCCCCAATTTGTCTGAGCCTTTGCCACCTGACTCGCTTTGGGAATAACGTGAGATTCCTGGGATCTGCCCTCACCAGCTCCAACACCTTCAACCAAAATTTACAGCTTTTAATCCCGATAAAGTAATTTTTAAGCGTTACTTACACCTCTGGAGCCCTCTTTCTCCTCTTTTTCTCCCGATTCTCCTTCCGTTCCCTCCTCTGAAAGGAACGTCACAGTCAGCGTAAAGAGAAGCAACCCAAATTGACACCAACAATTTTACCGCTGCGTTAAAACGCGCGGCAAAACACGACGGCTCTGCCGAAAAGAAAGACGGCGGCAGTTTGTATCTCTCCCAAGCGTGCCGCAAAGCCGCTCCACTCTTACCGTTGTCCGAGTCGGAGTTATCGGAGCCGTCCGTCTTTGCTGCCTTGCTGTCGGGTTCATCGGAGCTGTTTGTTTGCTTCCGCTTCTTCGCGGTGGGATCTTTTTTGATTTTCTTTTTCTGGGGCTGCGAGAGAAGAGAAAGGTTAATCCCTGCAATAGGAGCAGCTGCCTTCCGTAGCCAACAGTGTCTTGTTTAACTCGTTTTTAATAAATTAAGCTTCCCGCATTAAATTTCTGACAGACAGAGTTGATCAGGAAGGATGAAATCCACCACACCTCTATCCCCTAACAGATTAAGCCGCGAAAAGCTGCAATATTCTGCTACCTTCAGAAAACAAAAGGGTTTTTTAGGATTAAAACATCCCACGTATCAATACCGCTCCGCAACCGAGTGCAGCCACCTCGGTCTGCTTCGGAGAAAACACGCTACAAAGGCAATAACAGGCAGAATTATATATTATCGCTTCCCGGAGCAAATTTTGGAGCTCTTTGCCGCAGGATGCGTGGGTCCGTTGGGAAATAAATCTTTTGAGCCCAGCAGGTGGGAGGATATCGCACAGGTACTCACTTTAAAATCCGAGTCCCACATTTTCCAGTTTCTCCTCATTCGTTGTTTCATCATTCCTCCTCCGTAACGCATATTTCCCGAGAAACCTCGCATTCCTTGGAACATGCTGAGTTCTGGGATAATGTTGTGGGAGAAGAGGGAAGGAAGCCTGGAGGAGCCGTGGGGACCGAGACCTCGCGATCCCATCGATTGCGGAGGTTCGTTCCACTGTCCGCCCATGCGCCCGGGATAGGAAGAGGCCATGGGTCTGTTATTGCGTCCGTCTCTACCCCAATTCTGACCCCGTTGACCAAAGTTGTCCCGTGCTCTGTTCTGGTATTGATCCCGGCGATTCCCGTAGAAATTATCGTAGTGACCTTCATAGGCGTTATCGTTGTCGTGTTCGGACTCGTTGTAATCGTAGCCGGATCGGTACATGTCGCGGTCGTTCATCGAAGACCTCGAGTCGTAGGATTCGTAGGAGTCGTACCTGCAAGAGACGCGTCGGCGAGACACTGCTGAGAAACGGCGGCAGAGGTTAAGCAAACAAAACTCAGCGAAACAGATTTTTAGGTTTATTTTTCAATCGCAGCAAATGCATTACTCAACATGGGACGTGTTTCACTGCATGGTGGGACAGGACACGGCGCCGGTGACAGAGCTTCCAAGGTTTCAGTTCCACTGGAGGAGGAAGCAGAGACCTTTAGACATGGGAAAGCCCTGATGCCAGGTGCCCCTCGAACCATCCACTTCTTCCAGAATTATTTTAAAAGAACAAAAAAAACCCAAACTAACCATGTTTAGCAAAGGTTCCTTCACCACTTTGTCCTCACTCCCAAACATTTGCTTCAAAATGAGCTTTAGGAGCAGCTGAAGCAAACCACGAGCTGCTCGTCCTCACAGCAAGGTTCCATCTTATCCAGAAATACTTCCAAGAACAGCGAGATTTACTCCTCCGCTACTCAGGGAAACAACCAAAGACCTATTCCAGACCCGTCCTTCCTCACTCCCCATATACAATCCATCCCTTAAACTGTTTTCCTCAACTGGAAAACCAACATAGAGCCCCACCGGTTTTAAATCCCATTTTTTCCTCCTAGAAATAAGGCGGTGGAAGATTTTTAACTTTATATTCCGCGATACTAAAACACGTCGTACTGGAATTTAAGGCTTTGTGTGCTTGCCGGCAGCGCTTTGACTGACAAGGCAGGCGAGGAGGTCAAGAAAAGATCGGGACGCTGAACTAACGAGCCTCGTCAAAGCGCGATGCCTCGCCGCTGAGCTTTACAGCAAGACCTCAAGAGCACGGAGACAGGAATTGGCGGCGGGGAGGGAAAAAAAATGTTACCGCGGCTCCAAGGTTGGGAAAAAAGTCGCCCCCTGGTACAAGGGGAGACGTCGGGGCTATAAAATCAAATCAGGGACCAACGGAGGAGCTGCCGGTGTCCAGTTAAGCGTAAGCCGGAGCAGCTGGAGGGTGAGCAGCTCCTTTTCTGCCCTGTTATAGCCCAAAGCCAACATTCTCCAAGTGATTGATCGTCCTCTTACCACGTTTCTCGGTATTTCTTGCACGGAGCAGGAATTTTTTAGCTTTTTAATAAAACCTATCCCATTCCCAACTGGCACGGCAGCAGCAAATCGGCGGAAACGCCGCAAGCAGGAGAGTTTCTGCAAGCGGCCGACCGCCGGCGCACGAGATCAAAGCGGAGAAGCCCAAAACGATGTTTGAAGGGACAAGAAGCCGAGGAACCATTCAGCAAGCCCTTTTTCGGCGGGGTTAAAACAAGCAAGGGACCAAAAGAAATCCATTTGATCGAATAGTACGGACGTATCATTTTGTAGGCGAGTCGGATATACCATTTCGAAGGAGCTTTACTGTTCTGGAAGTGTAGGGATGGAACAGAAAACGGTCACATCATGTTTATTAATATTTACTCCCAAATTTTGCCTTGTCCAATGTACTTTTATTTTTTTAAAGCATTAAAAACCCGGAGTAAGTAGTCGCCCTGCAGAAGTACCAAAGTCCTGGCTCAAAACTTAACAGCACACGTTAAAAAAAAATAAGAAATCGTTGAGGAAAGCAGCCTGTCTGTGTGTACTTAAACACGAATAAAGATCAGCGAGGAGTCGACTACGTTGTAGAGTTTAGCATCTGCTGCGACACTGGCTACCGAAACCTCACTGCAGCAGCAGCAGTCAATCCGTTAATCAAAATTAGTAATTTAAACTCAGATTAAGGATGAAATTGTACTTTGTTTTCCTTAGCACTGCTCTAGAAGTATATAAGCAAGCTCGTGAGAACATTCCTTATAATTATTATTTTTCTGAACAACCTCAAATTTCAGCTACTGCTGGAAATGCTGTACTTTAAGTCCCAAATTTGGGGTTTTTTCCCCCACAAGGGATGAAAACTCAGCCTAAAAATCTTATTTTACAGTTACGGCGGGTGAGGGGAGGACGGCTCAGCCAGCTCTGGACGTTCAATCGTGTCACGACGCTGGAAAAAGCAAGAACGAGCCCAGCAAGGAACAAACCGAGCGGCAACGCCTCGTAACGAGCAACAGATCGTTCCCGTGTCCCCTCGTCTCGCGCCCTGCGCTCACCTGTCTCCTCCAGATCCGTAGTGTCCTCCTTGCATCGTGTCCGTATCCATGTGCGATACCATGTCTAAACGCTGGTTCATTTTCGTGATGACGGCGTCGGCGTTGCCGCCGCCCGAACCGTCAGGGTTCATGTCAACGTCGGAATTGCCCATTTCCCAGGAGCTGGAGGCGGCCATGCCGTATCCATAATTGCCCGAATTATCCTGGCCGTATCCATAGCCGTAACCGTATCCCTCGTAACCTGGAACGACAAAAAGAAAAGAGCTGGGTTTATTTCCAGTTATCCGGCTTCGCCAATATTTTAATTTGAATGAAGATGCGTCAAGCAATCGCCACAGGGAGTCAAAATGGAAAAAAAAAAAAAGCTCAAATTTCTATTTAAGTCACCTATAGAGTTTAAACTGTTGAGCTTACAAAGGTTTACGGGAACAATTTGCTCCTATAAGTCCCACAAAACATGGCCACAGCCTATAGCTTCCTTCGTCTAACCTGCTCTGGAGAGGAATAAACACAGAGCCTCCATAAAAAACCTGTTTGGGGTTAACACAGAGATGTCGAAGAATCATTTTAAACTGTTTTTTAAGTTTGATATGAAGCTGTTGGTAGCCAGACGAACACAGCAGCTAGGACATACCTTTGCCGGGACCTATATAAGCCGCTTTATAACTCCTTAAATCCAAAGGGATGATGCTATAGCGCGTACCTGTCCTCTTTAAGGACAGTACAGCCGATATCGAAAGCCAGAACACTTTCAGCCTAGCATTTATCACACATTTTATATCAGAAAGCGTCTGAGAGGCTTCGCCTCTTGCTAAAGAAGCCAAAACCGTTATAAAGAGAAAAAAAAACACTGTAGGAATAACACACAAAGCCAATTAAAAGCCTGTTGAGGTTAAAAATTTAGGTTTTTCCTTCCCCCAGCCCTTTTATTTGGCTGCTGGCACACGCGGAGAGGGAGTTTGTATTTCTGCTGTCTCCCCAAGCCCCAATTTACATCATCACCTGCACTGACTTCACACGGGTTTTCCAAGTAGCGGAAAGGAGGGATTTCTTTTGAGGGGGGGGGGAAACAACCCCAAAACCCAAATATTCTGCCTAGAACAGTTTTCCTGTGCAACCAGTTACAGCAACAAAGTCCTCTGTTGGCTTCAATGTTGAGTTTTTAAAATAAAAGAAGAAAATCATCACGCAGGCGGAACAGTAAGAGGCTACAGGGGGTCTGTGCTGCGGCGGGGATGGCGGTTGTTGGTCACCGACCTCAGCGCATCTCCCTCAGGCTCAGGAAACGGATCTGAAGCGGAAGGTAACAAACCATTACTCCAGTTTTTACTGTACTTGCCTCTGTTCGTCCCGGAATTCCAGTCTCCATAACCTAGAAAAAGAGCAAAAAGCAATTAAGAGACGAATTTATCATTATTGTAGCATTCGTGGCCAAAGAGATTCTCGTTACCCAGCGTCAAAACGGAGCGACGCCCTGAATAACCCACGACTCTTGCACCAAATATCGAAGAAATCAGACCTTAACGTCGCCCCAGCAACAACACATCCACACAAGAGCAACATCCTTTGCTTGTCTTATGCAAAAAAAAAAACCCACAACCAAGTTTGAATTTCAAGCTGAGCTCCCGGTAACGATTTCCACAACCAAGTATTTTAGCAGCAGAGGCGAAGCGTTCGGGAAAGCGAGAGCGGTCTTGCACAGAATAAACCCCGCTTCGATTAATGCCTACGAAGAGAAGAGCAGGACACGTCGGGGAAGTTTTAATCCCATCGTCCGCCAACCTGCAACCTCCCAGAACTGACATTCAGACGCCCTTTGGGGCGAAACGTATCTCGACGGCATCGCTGCACTTTGCCCTTGCAGAAAACCAGCTGCAAGATGGGAGATACTGGGATGGAAAGACACGATCCAGAGGAGTCCCGGCCGGGATACCGACAGCCCCCACTCCCCAGTCGAGAAACCGTTACCCCAGCGTTAATTTTTCAAAGCGATTACAGCCTCGTTAGCCTGGGTACGTATGGGCACGGCTTCCCTTCCTATCAATCCACACACCCGCTATGGGAAAGCGACGTTACCTTGCAGGTTCTTGTTGGACTGCTCCCTTAATTAGAAACTCCTCTTTACAGAAGCGGCTTCATTTATTCATTTTCTTTTTCTTTTCCCGCCCAGTGTCACCCTTACAGCCTGAGCCGCTTCCACCCAAAACACTTGACCCTGAATACAATGGCAAATCGCTTCCCACACCCACCCTACTCCACAGGTGAGCACAGAGGCCGCTCCAGGAGCCAGCAAAGGGATAAAACCGTCAAGATTCAAAGGAGGCAAAGGGAGAATTGCCACTAAATTAGGCGAGGAGGAGAGTTGCAGCTGTAACCTGAACGCAGATGAGGAAATCCTGTCAGCTGCAACCACCAGGCAGAAATCAGAGTGAACCTAATTAAGCTTGATTAAACAATAAATCAGTTTTCTGTCAGAAATTGAGCCTGGCTCGCTCCCTTCTCCCCCGCCACCCACACCGGGGATGGAAGCTCTCTCTGCCCCCGGCCTGGGCGTGATCGGGGAAGCACCGAGAGGGGATCCCGGGGGTTGGAACCAGAGGGACCGAGGCCACAGAGGGGGCTCCGAGGCGCTGAGCCGGAGTCAGAGCCG